GTCACCTCCCCGCGGGTCTCAAGTCTTGTTTGCCCCAACTTGCTGCTTTCTGGTTCGTCATCTCCCAGGCCTGCGGCTTCTCTGCATATGTAGGTTTCCCGAGATCATTTTCACAAAGGAGCTGCAGGGGACCTCTTTCGAGTGCACCGTATGTGTACGTCTGCAGATTGAGGACTCCTCAGCCCGCCCGAAACCACCCGGCAAGCAAAGTCATAACGTGTCGATATCGCCTGAAGCCGAGCAGCACTAAAGCAAAGGCAAATTATGCGCTGCGAGTAGGACCGATGAATCGAAACAACACCAGCACAAGCCTACCCGAACGGTTTATCGAAGTTTACTCGCAGAAAGTCTTGCAATCTACGAAAGCCAGAACGATTTCCGGCGGAAGCATCTGCCAAGGCCACCGTGCACAATTATGCGGCTGACATGCAGGCAGGACGCCAAGAGACATCGCCTTAGGGGGCACTGAAAGCATACAGTGAGTTGATGTGAAGCCTTTGTCTCGACGGATCCCGTCCAATGACCCTTCTTCTGCAGGGTGCCGTACGTGGCACGTTGGGCGTGGTCCAAGGCACGGCATACTAATTTTCCCAAAGGGTTCGGGTGGCCGCAGACAGCAGACAGCCGCCGTCTGCAAGTTTTGCAATTAAGATGCAGCCTGCCCTGGAAAGCTCATGGGAGCTATCCACCAGTGCTCTGTTTTTTCTTGGCAGCAGCGGCACTGTGTAAGGCAGTGTAAGGTTCATTCCCCGCAACTAGAAGAAGGAATATTGACAACCCTCCGAACGAAGTCTCTAGACAACTGTGGAACCATCGGCATCTGCTGGCACAACTACGCCGCTGGACGAAGCCATAGCGCTGCTGGTTTGATCAACAGGACATTAAACAAGAGACTCGTCCGTATGCTCGGCTCAACTGAAACGTCTGTCATGCACATACATCTGCTTCGCCTCGGTTTCGGCGCAGGGGTCATCTTCCCATGCATGGGGAATATCCTCGGAGTGATCCTCTTCCTACGTGGGCCCTGGCACTCTGGCAACAGTCTGCTTGTCATCGCGGCGACTTCTTGCAGATTGCGCGAGTGCTCTAAGGATAGTTGGCAAGGGAGGCATTCTCGAAGCTTTTGGCGTGGGCTTGGTTTGTTGCAAATTGGTCGCAAGCTGACAAGAGCGTTTGTGCCTCTCAGATAGTTCAACGTCAACTTGCTATGTTTCTGGTGCCTGTGTCAGGCACATGCACCTTCCTGACAACGCTCAGCCTCTCAGCAATTGCTACGAATGGAAAGATCGCTGGTGGCGGCGCTTACTACTTGACTCCCAGATGCACAGCGAGGATAGAGAGATATAGAGAGTACGTCCTGTCGCCGTCGTCTCTCAGGATCTCGCGGTCCCTGGGACCGGCCTTGGGTGCTGGAGTGGGGCTCTGCTTCTACATGGCCTCATGGTGGCAGCCGTCATGCGATTTTCGATGTCGGAGGAGAGCTGCTTGCAGCGTTCGAAACAGCTAGCTCCCCGAAGTTTCTTTGCCCATTGTTGGCGCTGCACCGCCGGCCTCCGACAGGGTGTTTGCGTTTCAGCCCGTTCGGTCGGTTCTGCTTCTGATCGAAGGCGAGAGCCCGAAGCTCCGTCCGAAGACTCGGCCTGCACAGGGCGTGTTTATGTGTGTTTCTCTGGACCCGACCTTGCAGGGACCTGTTTTTGTGCTTTCACAAGGCCTCTTGGGCTCTTCTGCCGTTCTCTGGCAGTGAACTTCCCGTGTCCAGGACATTTGCCCCACGCGTACCGACTTGTGTGGCTTTCTTTGTGACCCAGCGGAATGGTGTCCGCATTGTCCTTGGCGGTGGTGAGGCAGTGTAGGAGCATGTCCCTGGCCCCGGCTGATGTTGCATGGAAGCGCCTACTGTGGCTGGTCGGTGTCCTCCCTTTTCTAGCAACAGCTTCCATGGTGTGGTGGTGAGCTGATGCTGCCGCGTTTCCTTCCATCGCCGCGCGCCCCGAACTCCGGCGCGATCCGTCGTCCGAGTCGTGCACTGCTTGATCGAATGTGAGCTTGGCAGACGACGTTTTCTACTATTTTGCAAGGGTGCTCATAAGGCCAACTCCATCGGAGCAGCCATGTACTTCATGGGTTGCCACCCGGCGAATGGACACGGGCCTTCTTCAAAAACAGAGAAAGCTCGGTGCCGCTGAGGTGTAGAGGCTTGGGAGATAGCACAACCAGAGTACCAGACCCTGATCTGCAGGAAGGCAAAAGTCAGAGGTAGTTCGGAGCATCGCCGTCGCTATTTCTGGCCCAGGATCGGAGAGATCGGAGACTTGAACAACGTTCGTCTGACGGGCTACTTGATCCTAGTCTTCGCAGTAGTCATCATCTTTGGTGGAATCAAGCACCTTGGCCGTCCGTTGATCCAGTTTGTCTTTCTGCCACGACAGAAACTGCAAGGTATGTCTCACGCTTGGGAACGGTTTTCCTCATGGTGGTGTTGTCGGGCTCTCGGATCCAGTGCCCTTGATCGAGTCTCGGAGTGGTTCTGATTTTGGATCCCAGGTTTGTGATCCTCTGCATGTACGTGGGCTGCTTGATGGGCCCAAACGAGACGCGGCCTGCGACCTTCGCAGCCACTCGGCCAAGCGCCAGAATCCGGAGCGGCGCGGCGCCTTTTTTCTCCTCTTCTGAAGCTTAGGTCGACCTGGTCACTGCGGATGGTTCAACGGTTCAGAAGACGCTCTCCTGGACAGGCCATGGGGCCACAGCTGCCACTGGGGATCACACAAGGTTTCTCACCTCATGCAAGAGAGGCCCGTCTGGGACTTCCTTCTCGGACAACTGGGCTTCTGCGTGGGATGCCCCTCAGGGTGCTTTTCCCAAGGACACCACTCAGCCGCTTTGGACTGCAAGGAGCCTCCTTTTTTGGGGTGGCAGGGTAAACAAGCCTTGTACGGTAAGTATGCTTCTGACTCAGCATGCTACATGGTGCTCCGTGCCGTTCTGCAGTTGGGCGTTGAAGCGGGTGACAGCAGGCCCGGGGTTTGAAGTATGGGTGTGCATTGCTCGGGGATCGTGTCGCGAGGGGTTAAACGGTTACAGACTGCAGCTGCTTCTCGAGACCGAGGCACAAGCCGAAGGAGAGCCGAGCACGATTCAACAGCACACGCACTGGTAGGGTCACTCGCAGTTCACGCAAGTTGGCGGATTCAAGCACCAAGCCTCGAGCACATCTGATTCGATCCCGCGCTGGTCAAGCACCGTCGATGCATGGTTGTATCCGACTCAGGCACTCGCGATTCGAGCACCGACGAAGCAAGCACCTAACAAGAAGCGCGATACCACCAACTCACGAACGGTTTCTGGTTTGGGGCACTTTTCGCACCCGACAGCGCGCCTTTTTCGGCTTCCTCACAGGTGGCCTGCCCGCTCTCCATCCCCCTTCAGGATTTTAGGGTTTAGGGTTTTCGTCATGATGTCATCGGACTTTGCCGTAACCATCCCCTTGGAGGGTTGAGTGTTTTTGCACAACACTCGTTTTCCTTCCAGGGTTTAGGTTTCCTTTCGCATTCCTAGCCCAGTCCCGAACCTTCGCCTTTGTCGTCAGGTTTCCTCCGCGGGGTGGGGCAGATCCCCCCGTGGCAACTTCAAACCGGGACCTGACTCTCTGAAGCCCTGCACGAATCCGCGGTGCGCGAAGCCCTGCTTTCCACATGCGAATCTCTGGTGTGCGCGAGTCTTTGCGAATCGTTTCCGTGCGTGCATCTTCGCATCCTCCACGCCAGTGCGCGAATTGTCCCTACAGAATCCGCCGCCGAAGTTTGCGATTCGTCAGTGCGTTAAGGTTTCAGATGTTTTCTCAAGGAAGAAAGGCACACCGAAGCCCAGCCCCAACCAGCCCCGCTCTGCACCACACTCAAGAGAATCTAGTGAGGACACAGGATTTCGCGTCCAGGCCCAGTGTTGTGGCGACTATCTATGGCTTGATGGAAGATTCCAAGATAACCCAAGGGTTTACCGTATCTAAAAAATATGGCTCTGCATATCTCGCGATCTGACCTGAGGTACAGCTTCGTGAACATGATGGGTCTCTACTTCCCATCTGTGACTGGCATCATGGCTGGCGCGAATCGGTCGGCGGACCTCATGGACCCCACGAGCGCCATTCCCAAGGGGACGCCCGATCCTGCCCAGAGATTTTCTGGTTGCATGTTGCATCGCGAGGGCCTCCGAAGTCCTAGCCGGGGCTATAGCCGTTTTGAGTGTAAGGACTCTTTTCGCCCAGCTCTCCACATCCTTTATCTACCTTTCCTTCATTTTTGCCGGCGCCCCAAAGCCGTAGCCAGAGCAGCACCGTAGCGAGCTGCTTGCCATTCTTTCGAGGTTTTCGGGAGCGTGGCTCCTCGAGAGACCCTTTTGAACGACAAGTTCTTCGCCGCTGTGCAGCACAAACGACATGCAGAGCAGATGCTGCCGATATCTGCCAGAGAGAGAGTCAATACCCATCGAATCAGGTGCTGACTCCCTTCACCACGGAGTTGTCCTTTAGGTAACTAGCAGCAGCCATGGACATTGTACCTTCTACGCTTTCGCAGTGAGATACGTGGGGGGGAGCAGAGTGTCACTAAAGCTGCAGCTAGACGAATCTTGTTGTGATGTTCCGCTAGGATTCAGTCGCACGCTCCTTAGGTGGTAAGACTGGAGCAGCAGTAGACTACTTTTCAAACCTTTTCGAAGGGCGACAAGCTGTCGCAGGTTGTTCCCGAGCCTACAGCAGGCGAGTACCCGAAAGCCTCTTCCCTATAAATTCAGAAGGGGATGGAAGGCGCCTAAGGCGCGGGTCTGACGACAGTCAGACTCTTGCTCCACGGAAGGAAAGAAGAAGAGAGAGCCAGAGCGCGGGCAGAGGGGTCTCCCCTCTGTCCATAACCCTGCCGAAAGAAAGAGAGATAGAGAGACAGAGAGTCATCATGTGCGATTCTACTGGCAGGCAGCAACCTCGGCTTTCCCCTTCAAGGAGGCCAGCGGGCAGCAGGGGAAGGTCGAAGAAGCGGGTTTGAAGATCTCGAATCCGAGCCATGAACATATGAACTGCTATGCGGTCGTCAGCGCAGTGGCGGATCGCACAAAGAGCAGCATCAGATTCTCAAGCACGGCATACACGCTGCAAGCATCTTTCCATGCACGCACTTAAAGGGACAAAGACTTCGGTCCGACACGCGCAGATTGTCATCTACGGCGTCATGGCATCCAGCTTGGGCGCGGGCTTGAACTCGCTCGTGTCAGGCCAGGCTTCGGGGAACACAGGCGTGCAAGGGCTCCAAGGTGTTGGACGCAGCTGCCGCACTTGTGCGAGGTACCAAGCTTCTCAGCGCCATCGCAGGTGATGGCACTTTGCCCATACTTCGCTTCTTCCGCGCCGCGAGGATCCCGGCCACGTCTATATCAATTGCATTTACGTCTTGCGTGCTGTCCTCCACTCAGTTCCTAGGCTCCGGGAAAAGAACCGCGACTGGCGCTTTTGGCAACTCGGTAGCAAGTGAAGCGAGATTGCGTTTCGGCCATGCTGTGGCATTGAGACTCTCAAGCAGTCGACTGCAGGCGAGTGGAGCTCTCTGTGCACTGTCTATCACCATTGGTGAGCTCGGGTCTCGGTGCTACTGTCACCTCTTACCTGAGCCGCGAACGAACCTGCAACGACCAAAAGCGCAGGTTGAATGCCATCGCTCCGCTGCTGACAATGTTCTTTCTCATGCACCTCGACCGACCTTCCATAATTTCGCAGCTCCGATTGGAACCACGGAGCCTTGAGGCCCCCCTAAAAATTATCCACGGGGCCTCGAACGCGTCTGATCCCTGAAATCTCGTTACTATCACAGCAAGCAGACCACAGCATCTTGTGGACCCCCAAAGCAAACGCTGCCCTGCTGTGAGTCCGCTGGCAACAAGGTGCTACACTTGTGTTGCTTGGACAGCGATTTATGCAGACCGTCGGTGTAGCTGTGAGAAATGCAGCAGAGATGTGCTCCGACGAGTTCAACGCTCGGCTGCAGGTGAACATGTCCTGTACCATCCTTCACTTCGTCAGTGATCCGAACTGGCGTCCCACCTTTCGCCTCTCAAGCTGCAAGATGCTGCAAGCGAGTCGTTGAGCTGCGGGCAAGACGAAGCCCAGTGACATGCTTCTTGAATGTTTGTGCGACTTAGGTTACCATCACTGGTCCATTTCGCTCGTTGCCGCTGCTCTCTGCGCTTGAGCCTCAGTTCATGGAAATTGTGGCCGTTGCCAGCATCTTTCACCAAACTAGACGAGAGGTCTGGATGATGTTTGCCATGGCTGCTGTGATTGCCATGGCGGCTATTATTTTCTGCGGCCTGATCCTCGCATACGCCGCGTACAACTCCGCGAACACGAGGTGGGGCGATGGCTTCCAGGGCATGAAATTCCAGCACCTCGGCATGCACACTCTTTGTCCGCTTTGAGCCATTCGGAACTCTAAGCTGGCTGCAACCACGGTCAGCTCGCGTGCTTGTCTGTGAGAAGTTCAGCTGTTGCATTCCTCCGTTTCCTTCTATCGCCGGCATTTGCTGCGAAGGTTGGCAAAGAACATCCTCATAAGCAGCCTGCCTTGGTTGAGCTGGTTGTACCACTTTGCGAAGTTCTTGCTTCTACCAAGCGGCCAACGGGTTGCAAGCAGTTTCCTCCGGTTGTGCTTCTCAAGCCAGGCATGGATGCCAAGCTCCACACCAAGAACTGGCGTCCTCAGCTGCGGCTTCACTGAACCTGTGCTTCTGTGAGGGAGCTTTACCTTGCTTTGACCGAGAAAGTCGCTGAGGCTGGTGGTTACCGAGCCAAAGATGAGGCAGCATGGGCCATGAGATGATGCTCTGAGTCCGTGAGAGTCGAGAGGGTCACACCCGCTGGGTTATCTTGTGCGGAGGCCATTGAGCTCCCTCGAGGGATCTGCAACTCGGAGCCAATCACTACATAGGCTCAGGCTTTTAGGCGGTTACAGTCGGCTTCTAGCATGCTGACGAGTGACGAGGCATTACTCTTCCCGGACCTGGGCATTTTGAAGATCGCGTCCCAGCTGAAGAACGGCCGCGGCTTCATCGTTCTGGGTGGCATTTGCTGCCCCAAGGCACCTCACCACTTTCGCACCGCAGTGCATACGAACCCCAGACTTGTCTTCCGAAGAAGCCCCACGCCCAAGCGTGCCCATGCTTGAGTTTCTTGCGCCGTGAAGCTCGACAAAACCGACACTGGCCAGCCTTGTGATGACATATTCCTTTCTCAGCAGTCAGTATACCGTATACGTGTCGCGCAGGGCCCAGAGAAGCTTCTGTCGCAGGGCGGGCTTTTCCTCAGCGTGCCTTGACATGACAACATCGTGCGCCGATGCAGTGACATGTCGTGTCATCGTGTCCGACATGAGGAGAAAATGTCGGACCAAGTGGCGGAGAGCCACTTCGAAGTGAAAGAGCTCCTCAGAAAGTGCCCCCGGATCGGCCGTCTAAAAAAGGTTCGACGGCACGCGAGTGGCATGATCCTGCAGGTACATGATCGATGGCTTTGGCAAGATTGTCTATTCGGACAGCACAGCGTAGAGACACAATGCAATACAGAAATCAGCGAAGGGGGGGAATAATGGGAATACTGTGGCAGCAGGCACCGGCCTTGCACATCACCTGCCGGTGCCAGGAGGATTTCACGACGGCTCTCACGGGCCTGGTGCAGTCGTCGGGGCTTGGAGCTTTCGAGCCAAACTGCGTGCTGGTGGCCAAGCCGCAACGATTCAATGATCCCCAGAACTGCGCTCGGGGACGTTTCACGCGTTGAGCCAAGCCGAGGCTTCTTGGCCCAAGGACGCGCTTGAGCCCGGGCGGGCCGGTGTGAACACGCGCAGCAAGCTAGCCGCCTGGCAGAAGAAATATGACATGCAATCGCTGAGACAGCACAAACGCCATCCCACACCATTGCAGCATGAGGTTAGCGACTCTTAAACCGGGTTCACTCTGTGAGGTTTAAGGCATCGGGTCTTGCTCTGAGGTCAACATGGTCCAGTTTTGGCCTCAGTTGGGGACCCCAGAAAGGTCGCAGAACCCGAAGCTGCCGTGCCATCTCAGGATCTCCGCCATCTTCCAGAAGGCTGCTCTGGCTTGTACCGGCGGTTTTGCGAGCGCTATGAGCCAGGTGATGATCCTGACAAAGGGGGAAGAATGGCCTGAGTTCGATGTTCCTTGGAGCTGACTCCGCTTTGAATGCACTCACTTGACTGAAGTGCACAGGAGGTCGTCTTCTGACTCTAGCTCTCCCACCAAGCAAGGCGAGAATAACTGGAACCATCGACATCTGGTGGATTGTGGGAGACGGTGGCGTCTGATACTTACGCAGAACACCATGCAATCATTCTGACGCGACAGTACTTGGGGATGTGGAATGAACTCTTGTTGGATTGTCGGCCACGGACCCAAGAAGCAAGGTTCTGCTACTGCTGCCCTGCCTTCTGAAGAAGCACCGGGTCTGGTCTGGCTGCAGGATTCGCTTATTCGTTTTGGCTGATAGGCCGGAGCCCGACAAAAGTGCTTGAGAGAGATCCGGGTCTGCCTCAGCCCAATGCTTCCATATGCTTCGATGCTTCGGCGTGCAGTCTTTGGGACGTGGCACCTGTGGGAAGGATTCATAAGTTTGCCTGTGCGCCTTCTTCAAAAAGCCAGCTCAGCCACCTTCAGGGCCGGCGATGATGTTGACCTCATGCAGCGGGAGCTGGACATGTGTCTGAGACCTGAAAGCCAGGATTCAGGGATCCGGGATGCCGTGTTGAGGCTCAGCAGCTAGCTTGTACACCCACGGTACGCTCGGCTACAGGACTACAGCTACAACCCGAGTGCGCATGGTCTTAGTTGGACGAGAGACGGCACAGCTGCAAATCGACGTGCTAGCCGCAGGCTGGCTTTCTTCCCCAAGATTCCATTGGGTTGGTTGCATATTACACACGCCAGCCGGAAACCGTGTGCAAGAAACTGAGTATGGTGCTCCTTGATGTCATGGTGTGTGGGGGAGATCTTCACCAAGCATTGAATGCTGTCTTCCACGTACAAATAGTCTATACAGGCACGGTTTAGCCGTTTAGCCGTTGAAATGAAGGGCAGCAACCATCCTTTGCTCACCTTGCTTGTGCTCAGCATCAGATCTGACAGTTTGATTGGGGGTATGGAGCTGGAGGACTCCTCGAACATAATATACTTGGCATCTAGGTGTTTTCTTTGATGTAAAGTGCAGTAATGCATGTGATGTACTCAGGTATGTCAGAGACTTCCGGCTCAATGTGGAAGTGCACATCAAGGTCGGGCGGGATTTGGAGGTTTTTTGATGTGTTTTGCTAGCCGCCAGCCGCTTCCCTCGGGGCCTTAAAGTCGGCTTTTCCAACAGCCTTTTTCTCTTTGCTGAGGTTGTGGACGAGGTGGTGGAAAGCGGCATGTCGCCCCGCGTAGCAGCGGATGCGTGGCTAATCCGCATTGCAGAAGACAGGGTCAGCCGCGCTCTGGGAGTTGAGTCGCGCAGGCTACGGTCTTGAGTTTCCATGTCGAGTCGTCGCTGTTTCGCGGAGGCAGCGGTTTTTCGTGGATCAGCCACCCGACGACGTTGTGCCCAGTGAGTCTCTCTGCTGACATTTACGGAAGCCGCCAGCGATCATGCAGTCTGGCATGTGACAACGCCTCCAAACGCAAACGATAATTTTAATGTCGGTCGTCTCAAGATAGGAATGAGATCTGAGTGGCAAGTTTGTTGCTCCGCTATGGGTCCGTGCGTGCCGGCGTCGTCTGAGCTCAGGTACGAGGAGCTGGAAGCCGGAATGCGCAATCGCCGAGAGCATCCGAAGGTGCGAAGTCCTTGAGAAGTTGCTCGAGTTTCTCGCGGATCCAATGACGTTTTCAGTTTGAAATCTGCGAGGCGGAACAGTTTGATCAGCCCACTCGCGTCACGAGTGGCCAAAGCTTGACGGACTTTTAGGGGTGGCATCTTCTTGGCTCGTGGGTGGGGGCTGTAGGCCTGCTACGCGCATGCTGGTGCTATTTCTGCAGGACACGCTCAAGACGTGGCGTGGCCGACAGTTCCAGCGCGAGCGCTCTTTTGACAGCAGAGGTGCTTCTTTTCGCGTGTCGGGGTGTGGGAAGGATGTGCATGTGTCCACGGAAATCTCTCGGATGCTTCGCCAAGCGTGTGTGTGTGTGTGTGTGTGTGTGTGCGTGCATGCTATGCCAGCCGGAAGCAGAAGCATCTGCTCCCCCTGGTAGGGGGCTAGAAACCACAGATGCTGTGGCTCCTTGCAAGCCCCCTCTCACCGCCCCGTCGTCTTGATTCTCAGTTAGTGGTGGCTCCGGCGGGGAGAACAGCAAGAGCATCAACTCCCACACCTGGCCGCCCGGCAAGAGTTGCTTTGCAGCGTGGTCTTGAAGCACCCAAGTGGCAGCTGGGCTGGCTGCCGGCTTTGAGGTCTGCAATGCACGGCCGCAAGCAGTTCCCGGAACGCCTCAAGGAGTGGAATACTCCGCAGGCCTGGAAGCCGTGGGGGAGCCTCCAGAAGTCCGAAGGGTTTTGCAGACGGCAGGACAACTTGGCCATGAACTCCATGACAGACCCAGGCCCCGGTCCCCAGGCCGTCGGAAAGGCCGAGCTGCCTCAAAGCAGGCGAGAAGCCCGGTATTTTTGGGAGAGCCTTAATAAATTTGCAGGCGACGGCGAGGCCATCGGTCGACCAACTGCTGCTTGTCCGATCAGGCAGCAAGCATGCGGGACCATACATAAAACGTGCAGCCGAGGAACTTCACCGACGACCGTCAGACCCCGCACTCCAACGCCTTGGTGTCGGACATCTCCGGGAGCAACTTCCAGCGTCAAGTGAGCTCCGACGGCCTGGGGCTGAGATCGGTATCATACGCCTGAATCATAAGCTTATCTGGTTAGTTCATATGCAGGGTCCATAGCGTTGGAAGTCGTCGGCCAGAGATAAATGTTTGGGAGAGGAGTGGCGAGGCCTGACTTCCAAGCAAATCGCGCCTGATCCAACAATGATGAACATTAGTTCAAGTCTGAGCAGCTCAGCTACAAGCTCCGAGGCTCACCGCGCCTTTAGAACATCTCCGTTTTTACAATGGTCCAAGTGTTGAGTTTGTCCCCTGCTGCTTCCGTGCGCTCTAGGAAAGCGCACCCTTTTCCTGCACGATGCTACTCGGTGGCAGCTCCCTGGTCTCGTTTGAAACCTTTCGAGCTTCACTGCTCCGTAGGCACGTCAGCTGGCTGCCACATCGCCGTGTTCCCCCGACGAGCTGTCAGCCGTTCTAGCTGCAAGAGGAACGCTTGAAGACGAGCACCGATCTTGCTAAAGCCCGAGGTGGTGTCGACCTTGAACAAGGTCATCCTCGAGGACACTACCATCTCCTGTTCAGCAGTGGCCACACGAGAATCAGTCGATTTGCATAGTGTAGGTGGAGGCGCATTATTCTTCGCGCGCTTTCACTATCGCTCTCCAACTCCCAGCGCTTGCTCTTTTTTTTTTTCTCATGTCTCTTTCCGAGTCTTGATTTCTCTTGTTCTCTGAGCTCTCCAGGAGTCCCAGGAGGCCGACCTGGTGTGCACGAACCTCCCCGACATGCCTCTCGGGAGCAGAGACCACCCCTTGCCGACTCGGGGCCCCTTGGACTTGGGAGCCACCAAGGCCTCCATCTGACAGCGCGCTGGGTCTCTTGCCGTCCCTATTAGGGCCGTCGAAGAAGGACGCGCTGTCTTTGCACCGCCGGAAGAATGGGTTTTTACCAAACCCAGGCTACTGCCAGCTCGTGGAGGTGGGCATCTCAGAAAGTCGCAGATGCCATGCATCGCATCGTCACACTTGCGCCACTTTCGCGTCCACGCACGCTTGAAGAAAGGCCTGCCCTTCCATTGAGGCAATGACAGCCAATATGAAGCGGGTGATCTTGGTGAGAGGCCAGGAGCAGGAGTTGCACATGTTGCCATTCAAGTAACTCGAGTAGCATCTAAGCATCTATTCGATCATGAACACAGAAATCCTGGCAGGTACATCGAGTGAGGTGATCACAGCCTTCACCTGAGGCCATTTCCATGAAAGATCAAGTTTGGTGTAGCACGCTGAAAATGCCAGCGGCGTGTCGGGATGATGTCTTCTTTGGTAGCATGTGGCTTTGGCACTTCCAGATTTTCAAGCGATTCAAAGAGATCGCACCCACTTCGCAAGCCGGTGTTTGGCTTCGACATGAACAGCATCAGCTCACGCAACGTCCTGTGCAAGGTGAGTTTCTTCAGGGCTGGCCGGTCTGGATGGCTTGCAGGGGGCATCGAAAGGCATCGACATGGTAAGGAAGGCCATAATATCATCAGCTGTGCAGGCCAGTCACCCGAACAACCTCACTGCTTTTTGACGTGCTTGCGCTCGAAAGTGCTGCAAGCTACAAGTTTTCAGGCGCAGCTAATGCCATCGTAGGCTGGTGCCTCAGGGACTGGCGAAGCCGGTGCCTCCCAACAATGAGGATTTAGGACACCATCAGCAGACCCGAGAGGTATGCGAGGCATTGCAAGACGACCCAAATCTCAAGACGACCCAAATCTCAATGCCTTTCCACCTGGTCTGCAGGACACCTCTCTCCATGAGTTTGTCCGCCTGCATCTTTGGACCCTCCGTGTGGCTAATTCGTCAAGCTGGGTAGCTTCGATGGAGCAAAACTCCAAGTCGATATCTGTGGCCTTCCTGCAAAACATCCACGTACCAGACGCGAGCCTCAACAGTCATCACAAGATGTAGAGCGACACCTTCTGTCTGTGGCACCTCGCATGCAGAAATGCCCATGAAGCTACCTCAGACCTTGGAGTGCAAAGATGCTCATCGAGCTCATGGCCGGACGGCCCCGATGTGCCGTGTGCATGAACCGTGCGATGAGCTCTGCCTTGAACGGCCGGACTCGTGGTAGTAGGCTGTGTGCAACGAAGGCGCAAACATGCAATCTGTCTTGGAGTTGCCTTGATTTTCCAGAGATCTGCGTAGCTCGTTGCTCCGTTGCTCCGAGGCCCTTTGCCTGCGGTTTCCGAGGCAGCTCACGGCATTCCGCAGGGGCAAGCGAGCAAAAGCAAAAGCGTCCGCGAGCTCTTGAGTCACCGTTGGACAAGGTTTGTGACCTGCGGTCAATTGCAGGAAGGCTGCATGCCTATCCCACTGCTTGCCGAACATGGCCTGCCACCAGAGGACCTGCAGCTCTCCAAGCGGGGTAGGCTTCATGGCAGCTGCAATTGCGAGCTTTCTGCCGCGACATGTGTAGAGCGTCGAGCCGGAGTTGATTCCTGCTGGAGGACTGGGCCTTCGTTCCTTTCGCTGTGCGTACTTCCTTTGCGGCGCGACAGGGTTCTTGATCCACGACAGCAGAGTCTTAAGGAGGCAGTTCCGGATATCAAGGTGTTGAGCTTTACATCTTCACGTACTTTAGTTCGACGTCAGTACAGTATCAGGATTCCCTGAAGTCAGAGCGCGGTTCACCCGACCCGGAGACTTTTCAGGGTCTAATTCCTCAAGTGTCGTAGGAAGCGTCCTAAGCCTGCTTGACTGCTTTGAGGCTTTTGCTCAATAAGACCACCTCACACTTTTGCGCAGCTTCTGACACTTGTCCTTACAAAGCAAGGTAGCTTTGTGTGCAAGTGAGAGAATTCTCAGTCGAAGTTCTCAAGCTGGCTTAGAAGTCCGAGCGGAGATGCAGCCCGCGGCTGTTTCCTACGCCTTCGTGCCTGGGCCCGGGCCTGGGCCCAGGCCCGGGCAGTTGCGGCCGTCCGGCCAAGGGAGGCCCAAAGACGGCCAGGCCCGGCCTTTGGCGAAAGAAGGGGAAAGACTCTCAGACTAAGAGACCCATAAAATGTCTTCAATGAAAACCCTGGAAAGGCTAAGCCAAGCTTCCAGACTGCGGTGCTGGTAGCTGCGACAGCAGCGGTACAGAAGGCAATCTTCCTTGTGAGAGGTGGAGAATATGTCAATATGTAACATATCGTCAAAGCCTTTCCTTGCCAGTCCCGGCGGCTTCGCGCGGTGGCTGCTCCACTGGAGGTTCATCGGTTGGTCCGAGAAGAGCGGGAGTGACACGCATCCCCACACGCTTCCGGCACTATTCCCGACCCGCGGGACCACGCAGACGACTTACAAAGCCGCGACGAGACCAAACCCCTAATCCTGCCCTCGCCACAGCCATAGAGTTCGCCCGAATCATGAGCATCACTGGACGCGCAATGCCAAGCATGTACAATGTAGTCAGCATCCTCAGCTCTTTGGCGTCGAAAATGATCATGAGCATCATCGGCTCTCCGTTTCTCCGCTTTGCCAGACTGCGCTGAGACCGGGGCCCGGGATTCCGGAAGATCGTGCCGCCGTCGTTTTTTGTGGCTTCCCCCGCTGCTTCCACCCACTGCTGCGTTTCTGCTGGCGGTTTGGAGACGGCCACCCCAACAAGGGTTCGCTTTTGCAACAGACTAGCAAAACAAAGCGCACTGCCAAATTCCTATTTCGAGCTTTTCTGTTCTGTGCAGCAGTGCAGCCCAGCCCCGTAACTAGTTTTCTAGAAGCCTACTAGAAGCTAGCTCAAGCTAAGGGCAAGTGTCCCAGATCCCTGCGGGCAAGGGGCGATTCATAGGATGAACGTGATGCCTGAGATTGGACGAGTTTGCAAAGCTTTGCCAGGCACCGCCGGCTCCTTCTGCTGAGCACCAAGGCGCATGAGCGTAAGGAGCTTCCATGAGCTTTGGTTTTGCAGTGGATCCTGATGCTTTCCGATGCGGCCCCTGAGGCGCAGGCGTGGCTGACCGGAGCCTGGCATCCAAGGCCATTCGCTTACGTTGATTTAAATAGAGTGCGACTCTCCTCCAGCGCAGCTCGTTGAGGTCAGGGGCGATTTTCCGGCTCTCAGCACGGAAGCCTATCCAGGAGTGCCTTGCTTAGCACATGTTTAGTCTAAAGCATGCCGAACACGATGGACCTTTGAGAACCCGTGACGGTTTCTCTGAGAGATTACGCCATGGCCTGGTGAGTCTCTAATAACTAATAACCTGAGGTGCCCCTTATCTACTTGGATTCTGGGGCCGGGCTCCAATTCAGACATGATCTCTGCGCAAGATCTGTGCAAGACAAACTGGGTTGACCCCACTTAGTAGCCTAGCACGTCGCCGTGATCCTGAGCATGCGACGAAGGCCACATCTCAGAAGCCCACGTGCGTCTTGAAGGCACTGACAGAGTACTACGCAGCTCGGCTTTCAGAGGGGATAAGGTGCGTGGCTGGAAGCGAACACACCTGATTGTTACTTTGAGGAGCACTCTGCCAACGTCCACCGCGGTGCCTACGCCTTGGCCGAACGAGCCACGGAGGCGCTCTATGTCTCCCAAATCTCCTCAGACCTTTCGACTCCAAGAAGATCAGGTGAGTCCATCAGTCTGCCAACACGCTTCTTCAGGCCTTCGAGCACGCCAGGAGCTCCGTGGCCACTCTGATCGGCGCCAAAGGCTCACAGGAGCCGCTTCGGCTCCCATAACTGGAACGGGCTATGAACACTTGTGTAAACATCTGTGTGATCTAGAGGATTCTGTAGTGCGGCGATGCGGACTGAATCTGCTTGAGTCCCTATAAGGATCGTTTTCACAAGCGGTGCGACAGATGCCATCAACCTGGTTGCTGAAAGCTGGGGCAGCCGAAACCTGGGTCCCGGAGACGAGGTTCTGATCACGGCCCCGTGGCAGACGTCTAGGCCGAGTCTAGGCTAGGCTGAAACACATGCTGAATGGAGACTGCTATTTTTTGCAGGAATTAGCAGCCTCTCGATGGGGTGTTGCTTGAGTTGATGCACTAGATGGGCTTTGACCATTGTTTCTGCACGTTGCATGCCTTCTGTCTTGGACAACGAGATGTCCAATGTGGGCAATGTTGGCAGACTCCTAGGTTATGGAGCATCACTCTAACATTGTGCCGTGGCAGTTGCTCGGATGCATTGTGTCATGGCATCGCAAACATGGGCTCACAGCGTAGGCCACTCGACCCTGACATTTCACTTGTTTCGTGCTGCCTTGGGGATACTCGGTATGTTAGTTTGCCTGCAAAGACGGCCTCAGCTGTAGTTGGCATTTCGTGCTCACTGGCAGAACACATGGTGGGGTGGCATGTACTTGGCTGACTGTCCTGATTGGATGAGTAAAATTCCAGATGCCAGACAGAAATTCTTTGTGCTCATCGGGGTTCGTTCAAAGGGCTTGATTGTCTGTTGCAGTGGTTCCAGTTATGCCAAGCGACTGCCCAACTGTATCACAATTGGCTTGTATTGGAGGATGCTGTAACACTGTGTCAACGGGCACCAGCACGGGCACTGGACCATCTGCTCACGAACCGCAGCGGCGTGCAAATATTACAGCTTACCTCGTGCAAACTACGTATGCCGATCATGGCGCCAGGAAGGGGACAGCATTGACTCGGTCGTCGTGACTCCCCACATCGGCGGAAATCCATCACCATCATCGTCGTCATCACTGTAAAAACCTTCGAATAGTCAGATGATGCAACCGCAAACGGTGCCAAGCCCTTAATTCTGAAAAACCGACCTGCAAGGAGTGTGCGGTGTCGCGAGCCCTGCGGGGTGGAGTGCTAAGCCCTGAAAGAGGTGGGGGATGGCAATCCCTGAAGCCTGAATCCAGAAGGGAATGACCACAGAAAAATACAAGCTCATCGAGCACGAGCAAGAACAGCACAGATCCGTGTGCCTGTATGGTTGTCTGCATGAAGATCAATTTAGGCTTGAGAGTTGCAGTGCGCGTTCATGGGGTGCACGTATGATCGAGGGTCGCTCGCTGACCATCCGTCGCACCAGCACAGTGAGCATGTCAATGAGGCTGGCAACGCAGAGAACAGGAGCAACCTTGAAACATGTGGGGGTGACAGAGGAGGCCGGGCGACGGCCTTTGCAACAGTATTGATCGAAGTTTGGACCGGCTTTCAACTTGGCCAGGGCATCCTTGACATGGAAGAGTTCCACCGCCTCCTAAGCCCGCGGACGAAGCAACCTGGCTCATGCTTGCGGCTGTGTTTGGCTTGCGCTTGTTGCATCTGTGCTTACCTTACGGGCCACGTACTTGAATTACCCTTCCCCTCCGCAGGATGGTGGCCTTCGTCCACATCTCAAACACGCTGGGCTGCATCAACCCAGACACTTCACAGCAACTCATTTCACGGGTGTTGGACTCGCACTCTGTTGAAAACTTGTAGGACAAGCAGCATTCTCCAAAGCCTGACAGGTAAAAGAAATCGCAGAGGCGGCGCATGCAGTGGGTGCGAAGGCTCGTTGTTTGTACGACTCTCCCCAGGCTTCCAGGAAGCTTGGGGAAAATACTGGGACGTTGCACTTTCACTGCACCGTTGAAACCGGTGTCGCAGGTTCTCCTGGATGCTTGCCAGTCGGTTCCGCATCTAAAAATTGAAGCTCGGCTGAGATAGACGCAAAATCCCGTCTCAACCCTTGCACACCGTATTGTGCTTCCTCGTCTTGTTCCGTCCCGTTGACATCCCAGCTCTTGTCCTGCATCCCTTTGCACACAAGGATGTGCAAGATCTTGGCATCGACTTCCTGGTTGCCTCCAGCCCCTTGGCTCGTTTCTATGAAGAGCAGTGTCCTGTACCTTGGCAGGCGTTTTTGAGTTGCTGCAAGAACTGCTGTTGCTGGACGTGCCTGTAGGCCACAAAATGTACGGCCCGACCGGGGTCGGATTTTTGTGGGGCCGGCCGGAGATTCTCGAGGCCTTCGGCTTGTGTCAGCCGCGCTCTGCATCATGAGATGTGCAGAGGCCATGCCTCCCTGGAAGGGAGGAGGGGAGATGATCAAAGAAGTTCACATGGACCGCCCGGAAGACTTACGTAGGGACTCACGTGGTTGGCCGGTGGTTTCCAAGTAGATGGGCGTTCCCAAGTCCACCCTTCCTCGCCGGGCTTGGGCAACAGGATGAGTCCTTCTACGCCGATGTCCCGGCGCGCTTCGAGGCCACCCGCTCTCTGTTGCCCCTGCTCGGTCTCATTCTCACTCCCCGCACTTGGTGCATGTAGGCAGGAACGCCACCCATTGCGCAGACAGTTGGCTTGGGCCCGTGCCTCGAAGTAGGCTTTGGCCCCTTGGCCCGTGCTTAGGGAAGAGACAAAACAAAACGAAGGAGTTGCATGCGACTACCTGCTTGAGCTGGGAATGGACCAAGTGGAGGCCGGACAGATGGCTTTGGATGCCAAGACAAGCCACGACTCTGCAAGACTCTGTCATGAAGGCTTACGAGCAATTCTTGGCACGGTATTTATGGGAGGCTGGGCTATGTAGGCATGTGTTAGCCAAGCCAAGTACATGCTGTTCCAGTCGCTCTCCGCCATTCCGGGTCTGCGGCTCTATGGGCCCCCGGCGCCGGTCTCAGCCGACGGAACGTAGCCGAGCTGTGCTTGCGACAGTGTTGGACCCTGTGAGGCGTCGGCTGGACCACGTGCAGCTCTGGTGGCCTTCAATGACACGCCGCTCTGCTAGCGGTTGTGTGTGGCAGATGGCTTTGAAGCTCTCTTTCTATGCGGATGACACCGAGGGAGCCAGACATCTACCCACAGGAGAGAGGGGGGGACCAGAGGGGATGCTGGGAGTATCGCCCCGGAACCAGTCTGGAGCGGAACCAGCGGAGTGCAGGATGTTGCCGGAGTCTTGGACGTCGACGGCGTGGCCATCCGTGCAGGGCACCATTGTGCACAGCCACTGCACAGGCTCGGGATGGACAGTAGATTCAATAGACCAAGCGCCAGTATGCGCCAGTACTTTATCTTTGTGTTTGTTGTGACAGGGCTCTGGAGGCGACGTACGGATCCGCAAGGGTAAGCTGCGCCTTCTACAACACGACGGAAGAGATCGACAAGCGTCCCGCATGCAGAGCGACAGAATGCAGACATGTGCGAGATTGCACTAGACTAGCAGCCGCTTCCTGCACTCCAAGGTTTGTGAAAGCCTTAACGGAGGCTTTGGAGACGGTCAGGCCTCGTGTGGCTGTCATCATGGCTAGTCGTGCGTTTGAGTTGAAAGGGGTCACAGAAGGAGTAGACATGAGTAGATAGGACGGGTCCCACAACATCATTCTTTGAACTGTCAGGGCCGGCGAGGGCTGCGTCTTTGATCCTGATGACCCCGAATCCTGCAACTGTTCCAGCGGGAGGACCGTTGATGCCAGCGAACCAGTTCTGCAGCTCTCAAGCTAAGCGCATCTCTAGCAATGTGATTAATCTGGTCCCGCATTTCTCTGCGGACCTTCGGGGCCGGAGTCAGGGCGTGGAGGCAAAGGGAGATTTGGTCTTTGTGGGTGCGTGCTGGCCCTGTAAAGGGCGATTTGCTCGCTCTTCAGAAAAGTGAACAGCAGCAGCAGCAGTAGAGTACGAATACAGTACTAGTGCAATAATAGTACAATAGCAACACAGTAGTAGCACAGTAGTAGCACAGTAGTAGTACAGTAGTCAAACAGTATGCAGTATGGCGGTACGGTACAACAGTAGTACAGTACAGTAGGAGGGTCTAGTGGGCTCCACAATCTCGAAACCAAATGTATAGGACAGTAGTAGTAGGAGTAGTACAGTTGTAGAACAGTATCAATGTAGTAGTGCAGTCGTAGTACTGTAATAGTACAGTTGTAGTACAATGGCAGTGCAGCAGTAGTACAGCAGTCAGTCGTGCAGTAGCAGGGTTCAGGGGGGCCCAAAATGTCGAACCCACACCCCGATCACTCCAAGATACTTACCAAGACTAAACAGCCTGCTACAATGAGTTTTTCGGGCCTCTTTGCTACCCTCTTCTCAGTTCAGACTGACCATCTGGCAGAGAGGACGGAAGGAGCAAGCAAAATCCGCCGGGCAAGCAAAAAGCATCACAGACTTCGCCCGAAATTCAACCGAGTAGTGAATAAGCTCCGGAATAAAACCCATTAAAGAGGGCCACCTAATTAAAGACAGTAGCACATGATCTCGTAGGAAACCAAAGCACCCGATCCCCAGTTCAAGCTTGGTGTAGCAGTGTAGAGTCAGGCTTTGACTAGTGTGGCAATTGTAACACAGAAACACAGTCGGAGCAGCCAGTCGTCGATTCGTCGATGTCTTGCTTCAGCCGGAGGATGCGATCCTGACATGGACGGCCTCTTCTTTCACAGCTTCCTTTGAAGCGGCAACGGACGTTCGGGCGCCGCGGAGATGACGGGTAATTATACTAAGGCGAGACATGTCACACACAGCACGTCGTGATAAGAGCAGCCCAATCAGACCGCCGTACCCAGCTCCGATGCAACAGAACTTCAATGCGTGGTTTGTTCCCCGAGCTCTAAAATTGAGCGTCACTGGCGTAATAGCCTCGAAACTTTTTAAGATCTGGGCAGTCGGCAGGCACGACGTTTGACCCGCATAAGCGCAACAGAAGAAGACCTCTAACGAGTGGGCACGCTGTCGATGCTGACGCGCTGCTCAGACATGATTCGAATTGATGGCTGACTTGTTCGGGTGCAAGCTTTTGCATCTCCGGATATCTGTCCCGATGTTCTGGGAGCCGAAGTAGGTCGTAGGTCAGCCACCAGCATTGTGCTGTCACCTGCACAGCAACGTACCCTGACCTTGTTGTGTACTCGGTGAGCCTTGTCAGGGGCACCAAGATGCGCACTTGATCTTTTGCAAGCAGTGCTTTTAGACGAACGGTGCGCGGCCTATGGCCAGGCGTATGCACAGCGACGGCCCCGCGAGGCGCCTCGCGAGGCCTTAGTTGCGAGCGTGGGCTCCGTGCCCTTCGGCTTGGGCACCGTCGTCGCGCCGGCCAGATCTTGGCTTCTCAAGCCGCTCCCGGGACGAGGTCAAAGGCGAGGCGCCCGAGACGGCCCGAGACCTACCGAGACTCGTGTTGGGGACTGGCAGGCCTACTCCGATCCTCCAGAAGCGGCAGGCAGGGCCAGCGCCTGGGCGTGGAGACAACTGGTAGTCATACTCGGCTTGAGCTCACAGGTCTGAAAGCGGACCCCTCGGCCAACGAGCTCCGAAGTCCGAGCCTCGACAGCTGAGCTGTAAGATGCCCGGATTTGACGTGTTGCAAAGGCCCGGAGCCTCAAGGCGCGCCTGCCTAGGGCCTGACAGAGTGCAAGCTGGGTTTAAGTCGAAAGAAGGACTAGTGCTCGAGCTGAGGCCCTCCGGGCCGGGCCTGGCTAGCGCCACTAGAACTGATGGAGGTGAAGGAGGAGCATGGAGCTAGTAAGCCGAGACAGCTTGGACAAAGGCCTCCCACTCTCAGTTCCTCTGTTGCGGCCGAATTCAGCAGGATGTTTACCGTTGCCCCTTGTGAAGCCATATCGCTCACGACCCCGCGTCGAGGAGCTGGAGAGCAGGGGTCCAGCAACCTCAAGGAAAGCGCCCATGCCGCGTTGCTGCAAGCATCTCCCACAGCAAGAGCCAGTAAGAACAGCTCTTTCTCCCAGGCCACCACCTGCCCCTGGCGCAGCAGGACTAGGCTCAACTCGCTCGTCTTCGTATCAGTCCTACAGTCCTGCAGACTCCTACAGCTACTCACGTCGAGCAGCTGGATCTGCAAGACATTGCTGGATTGGGCGCCGGCAGAATTGTGCTTTCTGTGAAGGCGAAGACCGCCAAAGTCCGACCCGGGGGAATCGAGTGAAAGTCATACCTGCCAAGCCACAGCCCCAATGTTGGAGTAGAGTGACTGACAGCTTCGCTTAGCGCGCTTTTCTGGTAGAGTCCTCGTAGTGTAGCCTCAGTAGCGCCGGGTCAATGGGACGGCTGATCGTGTGGCAGAGGCGGCCGTGTGCTTTGAGTTAGTTCGGTGAGGTATGGCGCACCACTCGCGGCTGTGCCACCAGCAGTGTCGGCGGTTGCACCGCCTGAGCCCGACTTTCGGAAGGCCGCCAGCCCTGTGCCGCAGCTGCGCCCGCTGGCTCCCCCCAGCCCGGGCCCAGCGAGTGGCCCGGCCGCCCCGACCGTCGTGGCGCCGACAGCGCCCAGCTTCGCCAAGCAGAGAGCTACTGGTATCCCAGGCCAGGCTCTTTAAGAGGCTCTCTGCACTCATTTCTGGTGTGGTTGGTACAGCTTTCTCGGCTTTCAGGACAACGCCCCGAGTTGCGTCCCCGGCCCGAGCCTCGGGTCTGTGCTTTTGAATAATGCATGGGGCATTTTGCCATTTTGGCCTTTTCAGATATCCAAGCCGCTGAACCCCCCACGTCCCCAAGCCCGAACACTTGAGAAATTTGAGGTGGTTTGGGTCGCTCTGTCTCTCTCTCTCTCTCTCTCTCTCTCTCTCTGTCTCTGTCTGTTTCTGTCTCTCTGTCTGCCTGTCATTGGTTGTGGCTGTGGTTGTTGGTGTTGTGTTGTCGGCTGTCGTCGTTGTGCTTGTTGTTGCTCAACACATCGGCGCACGTCAATCGTGGTTGCAACGCTGCGGACGTGACTCCGGACAGGCCAGTGAAGCCAGGCCAGGCCGCCTCTCCCTTCGGACTCGAATCGGTCTTTGCCTTCGGATGTTGCATGCGTCTGCGCATTTTTCGCAGGGATGTTGGAACCCAAGCTCGAGAGCACGGAATCCCTCTGGCCGGAGCCTCGTTGAAACCACCGTTTTGCCGTGTTTCTGCTGGTTGCCGGGCTGCGCTGCGGTCGACTTCTGAGGCAGCCTTCTTTCGGGGTGGCTGAGCTGATGCCAGGCAGGAGTTCATGTTTCACAGGATGCGACTTGACTACGACAGTTCTTGAGGTTCGCTGTCGGTCAAGACCCAATCGGACGAGCTTTGGGAGTCTGAACAGCATCTTGGCTCGTCTAGCGAGTCTAGCGAGTGCTCATGAATGTCTCCGCGGTGCTAGGACACTAGTTGTGCAGCTGTGAAAACGCCCTGGCCGCGCTGCAGAAGCATCTAGTGGTCTTACTGGAGTTGAGAATCTTCGGCCACAAACTTCTTTGTAGGTGCCGGCGAGGCCTTGTTCCGATCTGCTATAATATTGTGTTGGCCGGACACGCTTGTTGGATGAGTCTGCACTATGAGATTTCGAGAGATGCCTAAGTAGACAGAATACTTGATGAGGAACTCTCAACGAAGCCGGCATCTCGGTGTAAAGCTGTCCGAACATGATGTGCTTCAGTCGCTCTGCTTGCCTCGGTGCATGGGTGGGCGCCATTCATGGCCGTGCTTCTTCTTCGGATGCTGATGTATGCAGGCGATGTGGTGAAGAGGCCGAACCACGCTCATGTGTGAAGATGGTCGAGTTGATGATTGATTCCGCTGCAAATACGCATAGCTGCACAGCTACTACTGTAATGGGCTCAGGTTAGTGTCAGAATTTGACAGAAGAACTTGCACACGGTTGAATCGCAAAGGTCAGAGCATGCTGTCGTGCGAAGGTCGTGTCACTTCGTAACTTTGTCTTCCTGTCCAGGCCGCCGCCCTCGCAGGACCCGTGATGCCATGTTGTGATCCGTCTTGAGTCTTGAGTTCAGTCCGGACACGGGCTCGCCGTTTGTTGTTTGTCATGGAGTAGCGCGGTGTCATAGTCGCAAACGAGCATGAATGCGAGACCTGAGTGCCTGTTACTTCTTCCTTCAAGCCAGGTTAAACCCCACTGCCCCACCACCTCTTTGTTTCAATGGGCGATCGCGTCCGCGCCATGTGGACATGACTCGCCACTCTGACACGGCAACATCTGACACCGACTGGCAACAAATGTTAGGAACTGTAACCCTCTTGCGGACCACACAAGCTCGGAGGTTCTTGAAACAGGCACCAGGACGCAACCGCACACGCACGCGCACACACACACACACAGAGACACCCACCCACCCACCCACCCACCCACCCACCCACCCACCCACCCTCACGCATGCATGTGCGCGCACGCAAGCGTGCAAGCACTGAACAGAGCATATGACATCACCAGTCCAAGTGGCAGGTATATCTCAGAGCCATCCTTCCGACAGATTACCCACTCGAAGTAAGATTGCATCCGACGAACAAGCCGAACTCCTCAACTGTGGCCGAAACCAGAAGTCAGACCTGAGCCGCAGTCCCCATTGCACTTCCAAGACTGACAGCATGATGTGCTGTAGGAGACAGGCCGCCAACCGATGGTGATTCGACCGCGCCTGTGGTAGCCAGAAAAGCAGGGCAATTTGGAAGGGCCAGAAGTAACATAGGTCATGGAACGCAGGCCATGCAAGTTTGCGCTTGAAGAGTCCGAAAGCACATGTGCGACTCGTAGCTGTGGCTTGAGCATCTAAAGGTAGATGACAAGTTCTACTCCATAATCTCAGTGTCAAGATCAGTACCGCGAGAATCACGATCGCTACGACAACCGCCTGTCACATTGCAAGCATCGCTATTTGCCAGGCTTTGGGCTCTGTCTATTTAGGGTGCTGCGACGGTCAGAAATGGCTTAAAGCTGCACTATGGAGGACAGCGACAGGGTCTGCAAATCTTCTGTTCATGGCAACGGCTGTGACCTCGCTGCTGGGTCCCGAGGAGACGGATGTGAAGATCATGCTTAGAGCGCCGGGCACTTTGCATCAGCAGCCCAGCACGCAGAGTTTCCCTTCCGCGCAGGGTGGAGCTGGGTGAGCAGGGAAGACGAGCTCTGACCTCAAAACAGAATTGTTGTAGGCATGTCCAGCGAGATACTGCTGGCACACGCAGATCCGCTCAGATCACAGCTCCGAATCCGTGGGTGGGAGCGATCGTGGTTGATGCTGATGGCAACGTGGTCGGCGAGGGCTTCCACAAGTGTCGCCGGCATGCTTCGTCGGTCGCGGCCGCAATGCGTGTCGCACACGTCGAAAAACGTCTCTCGCGAGAGACGATCTTCAAGTCTCAGCTTGCCAGGGGCCCTGGCTGCCCGCATGCGGAGGTGGAAGCCTTTCGGGATGCAGAGGCCTTCACGGTGTGCGGACGTCGGACGCATGTAGGGACCTTGGAAGCGCGAGTTCTGAAGTCAAGGCCAATGGTGTCACGGACTTCTCTGAGACAACCATTTACAGTACGCTGGAACCCTGTCATCGCGGACCGGGCAAGCCAGAGTCTTGACCGTCTTTCGCAGATGGTGCACTTGTGAATAAAAGACATCACTGCGCAAAGGCGAACCGGGCCCTGCGACGAGCTGGTGGTCTCGAAGGGCGTGAAGAGATGTGCGCAGCACTGAGGAACATCCGACAAGTCCGCTCTTCACCTCCGCGTTCACCTTCCCGTGACAGGTCATAGGCCACGTTGACCCCGACGAGAAGTTTGGTGGTGCTGGTGTGAAGTTCATTCGCGATGCTGGGATCCAGGCGGCGTTTGCCTCATCTTTGGAGATCATTCCTCGTGCCTCTCTGCTGAAACTGTTGCTGCGATAGCTTTTCCCATACGCGACAGGTAGATGTCGGCATTGCGGAGGAACTCAGACCGTCTGATACTATCTGAGACTGAGGGTGCGACATTCAGGGCTGGAGCTGACAGCCAAAGAAGAATGACACAGGTTTGAGTCCGGAAGTGCTGAGACTAGTGACTAGTTTGCAGGAGCCAGTTCGCCGTTCCTTCCGGAGTTACTTACACCACCGTCGGACAGCAAGGCTCGCATGATGGCTGTGAAGCATAGGCACACAGTGGCACACAGTCACACCATGACACGCCAAGACGTGGGCACATGCAGGCCGTATGTTGTCCTGAAGATTGCGACCAGCTTGGATGGCCGAGTGGTCAGCACCTCCAATTTGCGTCGGATGATATTTGTCGTAGCAACAGTTGCTTTTGCACCACATACGGGTCTGAGTCGGCTAGGCATGTGCAGACAAGACCTCCCAGTGGATCACCCAGGCAGAGCGGCACGAACATAATCTGCGCAGAAGAGGGCTGCGTAGTGTCTTGCGTTATCCCGAGAAGCAGAATGATTCCCGTTGCAGGCACCAGCAAGACAGGACGCACACCGGCTTCGTGCCGAGTCGCAAGCAGTGCTTGTTGGTCGGGTGGCCCGGACTGTGCGGGGCTGATCAGAGGTGCTGGCTTCCAGGACGGCTTCTAGTTTTCAACTAGCTTTCGGGGGCCATGGGGTGAACACGCGCTTTTAGCACGCCTGACTCGACCGCAAGCGTCCTTCGCCGTTTTGCGGAATGCTCATAGTTAAGTTATCCTCGCAGAGCTGTGTCAAAAGGGCCAAGTCTGCTTCGAACAGGCAGCGGCACGGCTCTTGCTGACAGGCCTTGCTCCGTGAAGTGTAGTCCGTCTGATTCGCGTTGCTCTCTCGCGGTCCTTTTTGTGCTTATTCGTCCTCTCTTTTTCATGGGACAGGCCGAGTCTCACCGTTCGGTTAGACGGAGAGCCGGCCCCTGTGAAGCCACCTCTGCGCAGGGCGCCTAAGATCTCGCAGACTCAAGTTCTAGCAGTAGCAGATTCGGGTCGGTTTTTCTCCGTCCACAGCCTTGGCTTGCGTGATCGTCAGGTGTGGTCCTGGACTCGAAAGGCCAAGTGACCGATGGTCCGCTGATGGAGACCTCCGCTGCTCCCACGCTCATCTTCACGAGCAGAGCGCCCTGTACGCCAATTTCCAGGGCTGTAGGCAGGGATTAGGTGAATCGCATGGTAGCTTGCACTGAGGCCGTGAACGCTGCAGCGAGATGGCGAAGCAGAGGCCGCCTCGCCCGTTGCAAGAAGCGACTGCTGCATGCCACTGGCACACGTGATGCGCCTGCTCTTCGTCTTGGACACAGCAGCTTAGCCTAACTGCACAAAGACGAGAGATGAGGGCCATTCATTTCAACAGGGTGCACTCGTGACGTACCCAGGGCAAGTTTGCTGGTGGGTCTTTACAATCGCAGACAGCAGCGTTGAACCGAGCTCTAAACGTTGCGGTGCCATGGCAGTCTTCAACTTGGGCACTCTGGCTGTGTGCGGAGCAAGCATTGCTGTCCTTCTGCCTCTGATCTCCAAGTTGTCAGCCCCGGCACCCCCTCGTCGCGCAAAACGGCTAGGGGATCCGACGTATGACCTAGAGAAGATCGATGCTCCTGCAGCGACCGGAGCAAAACTCCGCATCGTGGCCTGGGCCTTGGCCGATAGCCCAGTGGCACCGCTGCTGCGGAGGTTCCTGATCAACCAAAACGGTGCTGACGAGCTCCAAGACCTGGCTTTACAAGTCGTCGACGAGGGCAAAAGCACCGTCGCCTACACGCCGATGCACCGCCTCACGACCGAAGAATGGAAGCGCCACGAGGCGGCAGCATCGGGTGCCGGTAGTGTCAAGACCTTGTTACAGGAGGGCTTTGACGGCCAACCGCCTGGGCCGGGAGTCTATGTCACAGTTGAAGACTACGCCAGAGCGTACAAGAGCAGTGCCTGGACACCGACCTCAGCCATGGAGCGTCTGCTGCAAGCCATACGCAAGCTGCCGGCAGAGTACCGGGTCTTTGTCACCGTGCTTGAGGAGGACGTCCGAAAGCAGGCGCAGGACTCCGAGCAGCGGATCCTCAAAGGTGCCGGGCCGGGCAGGGCCAGGCTCTTCAATTGAGAGGTCTTTTTGCCGCCCTCAGAAGATGCTAGAGAGACTTAGAGAGCGTACAGGGAAATACGGGGCCTTTGCGGCAACTCGTCGACCTCAAGTTGTGCCTGAGCCTACAGCAGGTCAGGGCCCGCCAAAGCACCCCAAAGCCTCTGCTCCGCTAAACCAGTCTGACGACGGTCGGGCTCTTGCCGCGGGGAGGGAGAGAGAGAGAGGGAGAGTGAGTGCGCCAAGAGAGAAATGAAGAGGGTTGGTTGGTTAGGGTTGGCTAGGCTTGGGGTTTCCAGAGACTCCAGACTGTTCCGGCTCTTCCCTCGCTTCCTCACTCTTCATTCGCGATGCTGAGTGCGTGATCGCTCTACAATTTTCAGGTGAAGCTCGCAGCATCTTCGAGGGGGTGCCCATCGCGGTGAAAGACATGGTCTCAGTTCGGGGTCATCCCTTCAGTGAAGGAACCGTTTGGCCAGCAGGTGATCGACACAACAAAAGGGCAGAGGAGGATGACAACACAGTTCGCCTCTTCCGGGAAGCCGGTGCCATTATCTTAGGAACGACTGTGATGACCGAGTTTGGAGTTACTCCGCTGGGTTATTCAGTGCACTTCAAAGGGCCAGTGAATGCATATAATGGAAGCTACTACTGTGGGGGCAGCTCGTCTGGTTCTGCCGTGGCTGTGGCCATGGGCTTGGTGCCTGTGGCAGTGGGTATGGATGGCGGTGGTTCAATCCGGATTCCTGCGGCCATGGAGGGTGCTGTCGGCTTGGCTCCGACCTACGGCCGAGTACCAGACTCAAGCCCCGACACACTCTTCGGCACCATGGTCAAAACAGGCCCCATCGCTGCAACAACACGTGATGCAGCACTGGCACATGCGGTGATGTCTCAGAGCGTCTCCAGCCATATCTTCACACGCCTTTATGGGGAGCCTTTCGGTGTTCCTCCGGTGCATCTGGAAGGTTTCATGGATCTAAACCTGAGGGGCATTCGCCTCGGGGTTTTCTGGGATCACTTCAACGATGCCGAACCGCTGGTCGTCGAGGCCTGCAAAGCAGCATTGGAGACCCTTAAGACTTTGGGCGCCGAGGTGGTCCCCGTTGCCCTGCCACACCTCAAAGCCTTGTCCCTGGCACATGGACTCGACATTTCGACGGAATTTTCGACGTTCTTCGGTAACCTGCTGTACAATGGCCACAACCTGGAGCCCGGGACTCGAATTCAGCTTGGTCTTGGCTACACAATTTCCGGGGTGGAGTTCAACTCTGCCAACATCTTGAGAGGCTGGGCCTTGAAGTACATGCACGAGGAGGTTTTCAAAAAGCTGAATGTCCAGGCGATCGTGTCGCCAAGCATGGGCATCCTTCCTCCCAAGATGCCTGAAGATGTCACAGCCGCTGGTGAGAGCAACACGCCTCTGATCATGCAGATGCTTGGCAATTTTGCCCACCCCGTTTGGTGCGATGGTTTTTTTTTGCAGGCTGCGCAGGCCTGTGCACTTTGGAGTTGTCAGCAGGCCTTGAGTTCAGTGAGTGCCAAGGATGATGAAGTACATCTTCCTTGGAAATCTCCTCGGCCTTCCAGGCATCAGCGTGCCGGTGGGCTACGATGACAACACAAAGCTCCCTGTTAGCATGCATTTGCAACTTGGCAAATCCAATTTCCGCGAACTTTGTGAGTGGTAGACAGTGCAACGTGGTTGTACGTGGGCAAGGGATGAAACAGCTTCGCATTCGTTCAGGATGGGGGCCCACTGGGAAGAAGCGGTTCTTCTGAGACTTGCAAATGCACTTGAGACGCGCCACCTGCAGCGAAAGAAGCCCTCCGCCTTCTTTGATTTGCGGGCAGAGCTGTAGCGCGAGCGCGTGTTTCGTTCCATCTCCTCCGATGGTACTTGGTCATCGCGGTGATGGGTTGGATGAGCTTTTCCATCCGACGCAAAGATTGTGAACGAGGCCGCGCCGTTGCGCAATTGATTGACGTAATTAGACCTTTTGCCAAGGAAGAGGATCAGCAGGGTCAGAATCAGAAGTCAGAAGAGAAAAAGCACAGCGCCGCGCCATAGAGGTCCGCGTTCCTCTCCGCGGGACCCGCGCAATGGGGACGGTGAGGTGGCGTTCCTGCGGCGTGGACTTCTGCGAGGTTCCCTTGGCCAAGGCCTCAGCCCGGCACCGGCAAGCCTGGCAAAGGCCTGTTCAGGTCTCCCTTGCAGGCCGGTCCCTGGAAAAGGCGTGTTAGGGATTCTTGGCTACCTTGTCCGTCTCTTTCTGTTGGGGGTCTGTCTCACATCTTAAATTTGGTGCCACGAGGTCGACGACCATCTCGACCTTGATGCCGTGCTGACTGCTCTGGGCGCCCGGGGTGTGCGAAGCTTGGCATGAGACAGTGACAGACTTCTCCGAGAGACCTTCAACAGAAAGAAAGGCTTGGCCGGGCCCTCCTTTTGCACTCCATGGCTTGGAACAGGAAAACTCTAGTAGTCGTTGGCGTACAAAGACGCGGCTGGGGGGGGGGAGGGTAGGAGAGTAGAATATGTATAATGCGTCGCGCGGCGGCTTGATGTAAATATTTATTTTTTTCGCTTGAGCCGAACCCGAAAAGTTGAATATTTAAATCGCTACCGTCATTTTAATAATTTGGACCGGGAAGTAATAGCATTTAATATTTAATTCGGGCCGGGAATTAAATATTTAACTATGTATCTTTTTCACAATAGAGGAAATAA